GTTACACGCTGATCAATTACACTGACGGTCTCACAAGTATCCATACCTTCTGCAACTGCATCTGCATTCAATTCTACCTGACGTTCAAGTTGTGCAGAACCTTTATTCAACTTAGCGGTAGTAGGCATTCCGCTCATTTCATCATGATCAACCAAAGACAAATCTGAACTATCATGATCATTATCACGAATATTCAATTTACCATCATCTATCTGGTCGACTTCATCAATTTCAAACTCTTTAATAACAGAAGTAGACAATTTTGGTTCCTCTTCGCAAATCCTTAAATGTTTTATACCTTCACTCTGACTAGTAATACCTTGTAAACTTGTGGAGTCAGAACTGCACTCTGAGACTGTAACTCTCCTCTGTGACACTCCATTCAACAATGGCTTACCAGTTGCAACTACAGACTTCTTGACCACACCATTGTCGTCCCACAATTCGGAGTCAGACCTTGATTTCACACTTAGCTTATCACTGAACTTGCTCACTGATTCACAGTTCATCTGTGTATGCACTTCTTGTAAACGTGTAAAACACAACCTTGTTTGTCTTGCATCTTGTAGCTTATCTGTTGAGGATGTACTACAAAACCTGTTACACTCACTAGGTCTATATGCATTACTAGACATCATGGAGCCTTCTCGATATCCACCTCTCTGAGGCCTATTCGTCATCAATGATTGCGTTTTTCCCTCAGACTGCTCTATTCTAGGGGCAAGATTAAATATACTGGCAAACTTGCTCATAGATTGATTGACACTATTGTTTACCAGTTTCAGAATGTCCTCGAACTTTGGCTCGATACCCTCATCCTCCACACGAGAGCTTATCTTCACCCACTTCCTTTGCAGTCGAGTAGGTAGGCGTCTCGCTATTACTTCCAGGACTGAGCTGAAGTTGAGGTCACTCATGCAGTTCACCGAAATCAATGCGTTCTTGTAAGTCAGCAGATTATCCAAAAACTCAGTGAATGCCTTGGAGTCATCTTGTAGTTGACTATCGTCACCTTTAACGGCTTCGAATACGTTCCTTACAATCAATGAAGGTTTTCCAAACCTTTGAAGTATTATGCTCATAACCTCAGCGTATCCCTCATTAGGAAGCATGAACGTACAGCACTGTATAGCTATTGAAGCAACTCCCGTGCAATACCTCATCAAATACATCAACTTCGTTTCATCGTTTAATACAAAACTACTTAACATCATTTCAAACTCCTTTACAAACTGTAAATAGTCAGCTGGGTTTCCGTCGAAACATCAAGGTTCATACTTAGGGAGTTTGATAATCCTACTATCCATAGACGGCGAAACAGTAACATCAACCATGTCAGACTTAACGTCAGACGCATCGTTACAAGTACCACACAAGTCAACATGACTTACTTTCCTGTTTGCTTCCAAGACGCTCTGTCCCTTCTTTGACCCAGGCATTGTTGAACTTGATCCCATTCCAAAAAAGTTCCAGATATTGCTTGTTCAAAGAAGACTTGCCTGGCGGCAGAAAAGATTGACGCAGGCTATCGAAAATGTTACAAACTGTCACCAATCCGTCAGAAGCTGTCAATCACGTCTCAAAACCGTTAACGCCCAGCTCTTGCTACGCCGATCCTCTCGCTGTCCCTCGAAGCCTTCGAGAAACGCTTGGTAATAACGGAGGCAAAATGCGAAACACCGATTGGCGACTCGAGAATTCCTTATTCTAACACCAACGTTTAACTAGCACAATAACTAAGGTCTATAAACATATATTACAATAATAAATCATGATATTACTTCTGACCGTTTTTCATCCTCTTTCTGAACAGCGACCGATAAGACGTGACTTGTGCATTGACGCCTCCGAGAAAATATAGTGAAGTTGAGTTTGAGAAAACGACCATGAATTGATCGTTCAATCTTCAAATACATTGAAAAATTGTAAAAACAATGAAACAAATGCAAATCATATTGCAAGCTCAGATTGAATAAGGACATGTCCGGATCGCGTGCGAGGTACGGACGGCAAACCTTCCATCTCCAGCTTCTTAATTTCCACTATTGTCAATAAATTCTGGCTCAAATCCGATATGTACAATAAAATATTACATATAATTTGGGTACTATGAGTGAAGGCCATGATATTTCCGGTACTTTGAAATCACCTCCAAAAATTTTATAACTGAAGGAAAGATTCTTTGTAACGTTAGAAATGTTGCTGATGATATTATCATAATCCCAGCTGGATGAAGGGGGTCAACACACAACACAAGTGCACGTCTACTTCTGTCAACTTTAATTTGACGCAGGTGGAGTCATTTATTTGTGACAGAATTGGGTTACTGAACTGGGCTACGCACATGGGCTGTTTACAGTAAATTAGTGTTCCATTCCCACAAAATATCTCTCTGTTCCCTCGAAAAAGGTTTCAGTCATCAACTCTTAGGCTGTCATTAGAGATTTCACTTGTTCACCAGGCTCCAGTGATCATAACCAATAACGGTCTGCATGCAGAAGCTAGTGTAATTGGTGTTAAACATTTATTTAGGACTGATCTATTATTTACGAGGATCTTCGATAAACACTGACTACGTGGTTTCAGTGGGCAGACAAGATTTTAATAAAATATTCCGTGACCAACCTCTGTGTACATGTTTTAGACTCACTAACCACTATCTTTGGATCATAGGAAGGCTTCAGGCAGGTTTGTTAAGTGACAGTCAGGGGTGGTCTGTTGTTCGGATAGGGTATGCGATGAGAGACACATGTGTGATAGTTAGGGATATTAGTATCCGCGTTTGGTGACGATACTGTGGCAGCTATCTCCTAGGAAGTATGTCTTGTCCTAGCTGTGGATTGTTCGTTATATCAGCAAGGAATTGATCCGACATCATGCGTGCTATATGCATGACGCCGGTAAAAGTCCTGCTCGAAGTAGCTAGTCGGGGCAGTGTTGTTGTAAAATTTATAATCGATATGAGTATTTGGTAATTTGTTACCAGAATAGGAACGAAGTCTTGATATCTGGTTGGAGTGGTTATCAGACCATAGCAAGTTTTGTGCAGACATCGGCACATGCTCCCTACTAAATACATAAGATGTGTGAATGGGTTCTATGGGCTTATTTGGCTTATTGAACGCAGTCTGTATCCGATGTCTAGGGGATTTTATACAACATTCAGTTGATAGAATATTCAAAGCGGGCTGGCCGATAATGGGTTTGCGTAGTGGATGAGCAGAATAGTACCGATTATCTCACTATGTTGTTTGTCTTCCATAGTAGATTTACTAAAAACACACCTTAATTATCACCGCATTACATTTTATTGAAAACACTAATACTGCTTTCGGATGTGCTTTATCTTCCTCCCTGTGTCACGCATTTCTAATGAACTTTTACTGATTTTATTGATATGTCTAGTCAATTTAATCATGTGTATAAGCGAAGCAAGGAAGTTGTGTGAGTACCTTAATATGATTATGAGCGATAAATAGTTCTCGAAACATCATCAGCAAATATTACTGTATAACGCTGTGAGACTTTGTCAAAATAAATTTTATCCACAGTGGAATTATGCTCTACCTCAGTGTCCAAGTTTTATCCTTATATCAACTTGACACAGCCACTTCAGGCAACTAAATATATCTCCTACTTTGAAATTCTACAAGACTAAAAAGTATTTCACCATATCATGGAAAAAGGGCTAAGGAATCAATGAGTTCTGGATTGTTCATTTAAAATCAATTGAATATTCAAAGATGTACGAAAACACTGCACATATATAAAGGCGGTAAGTTTCTTTCCCTTCCGTGTGGTGATCCGTGTCTGGGGAGGGATGCCATTTCAGAAGATAGTGTGGTGATCACGAACAATGTGGCTCCTCTTTTCATGTGGACTTTGGTGTGGGTGACGACTTATGCTGTCAGATTACGTGCAGGGATCTCCTCCAATCTCTTTCTGGTGGATTAGGCGCAAAGACTAGGCACTGGTGTCTGCGTATATGCAAAATCTTGCTTCTAGGCCTACCGTATTGTAGGGTGTATTTTTGGAGCATGGTAAATGGCAATGGTAAATCACTAGAGTGAAATTCAGTCGCCTCAAAAAGCTGCGGCACCACTCTTGTGATTCACCACGTTTTGAAATTACACTCTACAATGTAGAAGACCCTGAAGCGAGATATTGCATCAACTCATCTACTCGAGTACACAGACACTTTGGTGCCCCGTCCCGTGTACGGAAGTTATTGAGAAGAGATTGGAGGCGATTTATGCATACCATCTGACAGTAAGAGTCGTCACCCGCTCCAAACACCTAAGTCCAAATTACGAAAGAGCCAGGCTGTTCGTGACCACCACACCCTCTTCTAAAATAGCGCCTCTCCCCAGGCACGGATAGCTACATTTCACATGGCACATTATGGTGTACGTATGTTACATTTTTCCGTTGAAATCTCATTCATTTCCTCTCACAATACTGAATACAACTTGCCCTCTTGAGCTTACATTTTTGTTGACCACAAATGTCTAAGCAAGCCACTTAACTGTTTCACCTCATTTATCTTATTTTTATGATGGATATTCATTATTTTATGCATTTAAATGATAGTCAAATATAGTGGACTATAATTCCACTTCGTATCCGAATAGAGTTTCGGATATGATTCGCATTTAGTGACTTTTGTATGCCAACATAACTGATTTTATTACTGTAGTCTGAGAATGGTGAGCCAGGATTGTTCTCTCAGATTATTCTTGTTCGGAAGTAGTATACACATCATCCTGTTGCATTAATTTCCCACACTACGTAATTTAAAAGTATATGTCCCGCCATTTTTATAGCTGTTTCTGATTACATTACGAATGTCAGATGATTAGCGGTTACGTATTGGAGTTTTGTAGTAATTTTGAAATTTCGTTAAGTCTTACAATCATGGTTACTACATTTGAAAATGCGTAGAAGAGTGGTAGATTGTACACTGTTCAGATGTGTGAATAAGTATGGAATTTGAAGAATCTCGTGTACAACTGTTCATATTACTAGAATCCAAAGCTGAAACCATCTTGTCTTGGGACGACAAATTAAATTTTAGATACTCTATATCCTTGCAGAAAGATCGCATGCCTATCATGCCTTCATGTTTAATCATGAGTTGACCCCAGTTAGAGAACAACCAGGGAGTACTGGATTTCTGTTTCGTTATTGTCTAGGACTCGATCAGCACGCACCCATAATCCTACCGTGGATCGAATCCAGGACCTTCAGGTTAGGAGGCGAGCTCGTTCACTATTGTGCCTCTCGGATTGAGTCAAATAACCTATCAACTCTAGCTTCTGCAAATTCGTGGTAAGCATCGCGAATCCCGGTCGATGTTATTAACTAGTGTATGCAGACCAACACTGGAAAACACCTTATTTCATGTTACATGGTGATTCTGACATCAAAGTAATTCTGCAAATTACATTTTGATCTTTTCTGATAGAGAGAATGCATCGACATTAGGTCTTCACGAATATTCCTTATATACATGTATATTTGTGTACAGTGGCATAGACTATATAACAAGTGGACTTATCGAATTTGTAGTGAAATTCACCTTTGAGAATACATCATGTGTTGATTAGCATGAATTCCGTGTACCCGAGTCCCTCTTTAATTCAACTTTCGTAGAGCAACTAGTTTGTAGAATTTGGCGACGTCATAATGTGCTAAACAGGGGCTTCCTATTACGAACACGTATGGTATATTTCATTATTAGGTTACATTAGATCGTTCCTCAGCAGAAATTTTGCCATAATACGCGTTTCATCTAACGGTACACATGTATGATTCAAATTGGGATTTGTTGAAATGTCTCACTTCTGTGTGCACCGTAATGTTGTCACCTCGCTTAGTTTGCTGGTTCATTACCTTACCAGCCAGTCCTGAGCCCGGAAAAATGGGGAATCGAGCGTGGTGCTAGTAATCCTACTCCAGAGAATCAATTCAGTCGCTAAAAAATTTGAAATAACAGAGGAAATATAGAAATATATGAAGTTGCCTTATGCTAGAACCAGAGAGATGAAACGACTTGGGTTGGTGGAGGCCTTCGGGAAGCTTGTCATCTGGTTTGTCTCCTTCGAATGAAGGCAAAATTAGACAGAGACCTGTGTGCTTCAATGAACGTATATTGGAAGTTAAGTGCTAAAAACCATACAATCCTTTTCTTTGTGAATTGAAGTTATTAAAGTCAAGAGTTAATTCGATTTGTTATCTAAATTCAGGTGACTTGGAGGATATGTAGTGAAATGGTATAATGAAAAAATCAACCTTTACAGCATTGGCGGCCGATAAGTTGTGATCGTCGACCTAATCTCATACAAACACAAAGCTTTCTTGTAAATTCATTTATAACCCCAATGGTTTTTAATTTCTGTCACGGTTCCTCGTGAAGTTAGGGATAATTTACAACAATTATATTACCATTTCTTATGGTTTTTATAGCGCTAACAACATTTATGTAATATTCAGTAGTGACTGACTATAAGATGAATGTCCGTGGATATCTGGTAAGAAGTCAGGCCTAGTGGGGTCCATCAAGTCGAGTGTCAAGACAGATACTCGTCAGTGGCATCATGTATCGCGAATTGGCAGAAGTTGCACTTCATGGGTAGTTGGGTTCCGTCCCAGTGGCTAATTGGTCAAGGTGTTAACTTTTTAATGCGAAGGCCCTGGTTGCGTACAGCTAAATAGATACAAACTGGAGTGACACAGCTGTGCAGTATTCCTTGGTCTTCACTGGTGTCTAACTAATGTCAGCTTCTAATCACACTTGAACATTTTCATTCTGCATATTTCTTGTTCTATTACTTTCATCACTGATACTCTAAAAATCTGGGCATACACGATTTCTAATATTATTTTGTTTGACTTTTGTGTTTTAGCTTTATAGTGATGTTATCTAATGAAGAACAAGCAGTTATGCGAAATCTGCCAGCTCTTGTAGCAGATTTAGAAAGTATGGATATTATTGACCATTTGACTGCAACTACACCTCCATCAATTACACCAGCTGATTATGAATCAATCATAGCAACATCTCAAAGAGAGGGTAGAAGAGCAGGTGTTCGATGCTTAGTGGCCTGTCTGTTACGTCGTACTGACAGCTCAAAAGTATTTCAGTCTTTTATTAATATCCTAAAAGAAGATTATCGTCATTTATCAGATCTTTTGAGCAGTACATATGAAAGCCTGAAAGGTTCCAACGAAAAAGATGAATCAGACTTTGGTACTACTGCAAGTTCTATTTCTCTGCATTCTGATGCTGTTGTCAAAGCTAACGATCCAACTGGGATAATAACACCCTGTCAATTGGTTAGTAAAGATATTGAAAATTCAAAGAAATCTTTCAAAGGACTTGGACATTCTGAGTATGGTAATGTACATATATACATGTATTAAAGTATTTACCTACTTTATAAGGATTCGTTTCTATTATTTTGGTATACGTCGTTTCTTGCATATAAATGACCTTATATATATGTTCGATTTAATTATTGTCTGTTTTCTCGCGGTGCTTTTATTTTTCCACTTACCTGTTAAGTCACAAGTGACTGACTGAGTTTTCAACGTGGGACTGTACATAGCTGCAGTAGTTCATCTCTGCTATCGAAAGTCATGTCACCAACAGTCATTAGTACTTAGCATTCTGCGGAAGCCAACCCCAAGTGGTCTACACCTGCCTGTGTGCCTGGCTTAAACCAACACTCAAATACTTTATGGATTGATTCCAGGTTTTGATGTGACCACGACTATCTCCTTTCCAACCCAATCTTATGTCAGCTAACATTGGTGGACGAGGAGGGCAGTGGCTGATCATGCACTGTGTCCTAGCTATCTCAACCCATTTAGCCTAACAGCCTCTTGAATTGACTTCCTTTCCTTACCTAACACTCTACGTCTAACCTGAGTATTACTTACCATACGATACCACTTAACCAGGGAGATAAAATGCAAACACATTTGATCAGGGATAGCTAATTCACAGAGGAATTGAAGAAGTACACTTATAATAAGCAGTGTAGTCTGTGTTTACAGGATTTCTACTGTATATAGATCCCGACTGAGAGGTGTAATGGATGTATTTACTGCAACTCTGCGGCTGATGAAATCAAAAAGCAACAATATGAAGAAATCTGTCTTTAACTCTATCAATAAATGTACCTATACTTAAGAAGCTTTTAGAAATCTAAACTAATCTAATATCTTATTTCCATTCTAATTTACAACTGTGTTAAAACATAGATCTTTAGAAATTCAATGAACTACACTGTTACTCCAATATGGCAATCATAGAAAGTGACAAATTAACATAGGACTTTGTGTAAAAGTTGATTAATAACATTTTATTGTTCATTCGTGAAATTATTATGGATCACAGTCAACCGTGGTGTAAACGATTAATCATAGTCTTTATGAATTAGTGGCAGGTTCTCATCTGATCAACCGTAGCTCTTTTCTACTCTGATAAATTCATTAAAACATTTATGTATTATGTCGAAATGTATAACAACCAGAATTAGTGCATTTTTGTACAAGGTGGTTGTACATTTTTGCTTAGTGTTCAAATTCAGTTATCCTGAAAAATTGTTTTGAGCCATATCGTGCGTTTGTGTGTCTGTGTGTGTGAAAACTGATGATGCTGTCCAGCTGCCTCCGGACTGTAAAGTGAGTGGAGCGGAAATTGGACCCGAAAACCATTAACTCAAAGTCAAGTACTTGAGCTCACTTAAGTGCTTAAGTTCGTCGTGTGCTTATAATATGCTTTTGAGACGTTGCCATGGAAAGTGGAAAGTATCTAAAGACCAGATACCTTTGATAACAGATGTTTGCTTTGTATTTCCTGCGTTAAATGGTATAATATGGTGAGTAGTATTTAGGTTGCGTGTGGAGTGTATTAGATAAGGAAGCCAAGTTAATCAATCAGGTTGTGAGGCGTGTTGCTTATGCCCAACCACCGATCTCCTGGACAAGTAATGTTGGTTGACATAAGATTAAGTTGGAAGATAGTAATGGGTGATCAAATTGAAATTGACTGTTGGTTTAGGTCAGTCAGTGGGGTGGTGTATAGTTTGGGTCGTTGAGACTCTAAGTACCAATGACTGGAGACTATTGGTGGTATGGTTCAAAGTCGTTCTCAATGATTCGGATGCATTTACACCATGTGATTCTTAAGGCCCATTAGATCCTCATGCTCTTCTTTCTGCTGTAGATTTTTGCCCATTAAACTTCTTTAGAATATCTCTTTCGTCTGCGTTTGTGTGCTATATGAAGTGTGGCAACCGGAACTTGTTCAGCTCTGTGCAAGCTCCTGTATTGAAATTTGGTCTCATTCATTCAGTCATTGAGATTAATGAGCCCACATTTCCACCAGGTTGAATTGTCAGCCAGTTTAATTTAAACTTATTATCAAGTATAGAATTTTAGTAAGTCGTTAGTGAGCATCAGATTAATTTTGAAGTATTTGCGATATTCAGGCAGTTACCTGGGGTTCCAGTGGGAAACCATAACCTGTAGGTTAGGGTACAGCAGGTGGTTGAAGGTGAGACTGTAACTCATCGAGGAAGACATTGCGAAATGGTCGCGCTATGTCATGAATTGGTTGGCAGAAGTTCGAATTCATGGGCTAGCCATTGGATCAGGTCCCAGTAGGTCTACCAGCTCGCCGTGCAGTTGGAAAATCCTGTGTTCGAATCCTGGCGAGTCTCAAACTAGGACGATATGAACAGCTGTCCAGTACTGCCAGCTTTTCCGATGGTTCTCTAACCAATTAAATTTATTAAGCAAAGAAAATGAAATCAAGTTTGTCTTAATATAAATTTCTAGTTTTTTTGTTTGTTTTATGTTTATTAGATACCATATTGAATATTATCTCCATCATATGTTCCATCCGATTGCAATTATAAACTGGAAAAGTTTATTGAATGAATTAAAAGGATGCACTACTGTCAATACAACAACGGCAACCACCGCAACAACTAATATTTCTCTTACTGAATTCACTAAAAATCATCATAATAATAATTTTAATGAACTCCAAAGTGATCGGTCGAATCTCTTAGATTTACAATTGTGTACATCAAATTGTCGTCGTGGTTTATTTCATTATTTCTCTGTGAATATAATACGAAATTTAGAAAGTCGTGGTGGTGGCACTGGTAGTGTCGGCGGTTCTCCGTTTAAACGTTTACAATCAGTCAATTCTACAACCACAGTAAAGTTGAATCATGTCAGTTTTTTTTTATTTATAATTTTTGTTATTTCTATTATTATAAATTTTATCTAATATTTTTGTTTGAACTATTCAATAATTAATTTGAATATCCTCATGATGTTTTCTCTTCTGAATAAGGAATAATTAGTGTGTGAACACTTGTCACTAATCAAATCCCCACAAACCAACGCATATATCAGTCTGATGTTCATTAGCCACTGACCCTATTCACGTAGGTAGGTTGGTAGGTAGGTAGTTGCCTGGGTTCTAGTAAAAAGTTTTGACCAGTAGTGAGGTACGCAGCAGATCGGGTGTGAGGGCGAATACTCACTACGGATGACATTGGCTAGTGGTCACTCTGTAATTCGGCAGGGGTTGGAATTCATGGGATAGCCATTGTCTCGGGTCCCAGGGGATGACTGCGAGACCTGGCCATTGATTAATGGAAGACATGAAAAGATTAGCTGTCTTTGATCGTAGGTGTCTGCGTTCTATCTCCTGTTTGAAGTGGTATAATAAGGTGAGCAATATTGAGGTTAGGCATCGGTCGAGTGCTAGTTAAGGAGGGGAATTCAATCGACGAGGCTGTGAAAGCTACATCGACTGAGATGTTTTGGACATGTGTTACGTACGCCTATTCATCGCCTTCCTCGACAGGCAATGTTAGCTGACATAGGGTCAGGCTGGAAAAGAGCTAGTGGCGGTCAAACCAAAACATGGCTTCACCAGTCAATGAAATCTACAACAGTTAGTTTAAGTCACGTAGGAAGGTGTAGACTTCTTGACTGGTTGGGGTCCTCGGGATGGTAAAAACCAATGGTTGGAGACAAGTGGTGATATGGCTCAATAGCTGGTGCAGATGCATCTACTCCTTGTGACTTATAATTTCCAATGAAACTACATTGTTCTTCGTTACTTCCTTTTTCTTTGTCTCATTCATCTGTTTACTGTCTCTATTATGCATTTCTTTTACGTTCTTCTGTTGCTTCGTGTGCTACATAAAGTGTGGCGAATTTAACTACCGTACATCGTTGCAAAGTGCTATGTCGAAGACAGACAGACAGACTTTCCGATAATCTGTCTAGAGCGACTTGATAACGTCCTTATCAGTAACCATAAAGGTAGTAATCAATACTAGACAACCTTGTCTCTTTTTATGCAGAAAAAGTGCGTCGAACTGATTCGTTTGTCTTCGCCTACAATAAGGTCAGCAAATCTTCCACAAACATTGTGATAATGCACAATTTAATATGCTCTCCTTTAACCTAGAATAAAATTTGTTTTCCGAAGTCTTATCGCTTAATGACATTTCTTACTATGTCTCTCATGCTAGGTTTACATAACGCATTTCAAATTTCTTATGGAAACACAAAGTCCTGAAAAAAATTTGAATAAGACTTTCACAAGACATACTTCGTGAGACTACACCATCCCATAGTTCCCCTACTATCTCTTTACAACTAGCAGGACTCAATAATAAAATAAAATAGAATGCATAACAATTACTCAGCTACACAAAACAAAAGTACATACTAATGACCAGTCATATTTTGAAATAGGTCAAGTAGTCAGTCCATGGTAGGCGAGAAGGTTAAAGTCTATTGTATTTTGGACACATAATTTAGCATGTATGTGATTATTCCCCCAAAGTGCTTGCTAGCATCACCTTTAATAACCAACCTTGAACTAGAGTTATGTGGTGAAATAATTGTGAAGCAGTCATTATTTATTTTCATTTTGTGACCTGACTTTAATAAATACTTTGCAGTGGATGGTGATGATGATGATGGATTTCTATTGAGATTAATTGCGTTGGGATTTCCTATATGTCTTTATAACTATTTCCACGACATTCCATAATTCTATCCCTTTTATACATATAAGTGTCACCTCAAATGAACGCGAACTAGTAGATGCAGTTTGAAGTAGAGTTCACATAATTTCGTCCTTTAATCGTAGGTAAAGTGGTCTAAAATGTTCGAGATGTGAGGAAAAGAGATGTGGCGGCGTAGAATAAGCCTTTGATGGCTGACCGAAGTCTTTGAGCTAGATGTCAACTGCATAGTTTGATCAACCCTCAATGGTCGGTAGGTGAATGGAGAAGCTGCCTTTTCAGGATGTGGTCTACCGATACTGTGACAATTGATAAAGTTTTCTGGGTAACCATTAACTAACAGAACCGAATGTTTGTTTCGAAACTCATCCATCAATGTGTTTCGCTAGTGCTCATTTTGTGGGCCCTTGAGAACAAACTCTTCACTAGGGAACGTTATACTGGATAGGAACAAAACTGGTGAAATGAAGATATTGTCGACTCCATGTCTGCCTACGAAGTGTGGATCGCTTAATTGTTCCATCGTCTCTCCTAGTCATTGTAATATCCAACAAACCGAGTTTGTTATTCGATTCGAGTTCGGGCGTCACTCGAATGTTTGGATGAATATGATTAAATAGGGTCATAAAGTTTTCAATAGACCTACTGTTATTACCAATAATGAGTGTATCATCCACATAACATTTATATAGTAGAAATTTTTCTAGCATACCTTGCATTTTTTTCTCCAATTTAGACATGAATATATCTGCTAACAGGAGGCAAAAAGGACTCCCCATCGCAACACCATTCATTTCTTTGTATGCCCTTTTCCCGGAATGTGAACCTGATATTTTCTGTACATATTAGGATGATGTCTCTGATGTAAGTGACAGGGATAGGTAAGTTTATCCCATTGTTTGTGATGCAGTCGAAAATGAAATCAACAGTTTCATGAAGTGGAACATTGGTGGATAAAGATTCTATGTCGATTGAGCACATAACCTTTTCCTTAATGTTCAAGGTGTCTAGCATATTGGTCAGATCAAATGAACCTTTTCACAGAACGATTTGATAAAAAGGTTCTCTTACAGGTGTAAGGGCCTCTGTAATCCATTTAGCGATTTTATGATATGGAGAATTCGACCTATCTAAGATGGGTCTCAGTGGGTTCCCAGTTTTGTGGATCTTTTGAAGGCCATACACAGCCGGGGAGTACGTAATCCAATAGCTGTAAGTTCTTGATAAAGCTTTTCATTTATAAGACTGCATCAGTGAAATCTGAAGCTGACAATTAATCTGCTTCCCCAGAAAGAAGCAGCACATTATCAGCAGTATTATCCACTAGAAATTTGGACTGATCTTGGAGGATTTGATTCATTTTATTTTGATAGTCTGATTTATTCATGATGACAACGCCTTCTCCTTTGTCAGGTTTAAGGATAATAAGATTACCTTTTTCGATTAATCGCTTAAGTGCGACGGCGTGGTGTTCTTTTGATAAACCATTTTTCTGGTGTATTATGGCATTTACAAATTGGTGAAAAATGTCCACCAGTTTCACTTTAAACCAGTCCGCATTATCTTTACTAGAGGGAGTTAAATCAGATATTTGATCATAGAGGTTTTCATATTGTGACTGGACTTCCATTTTGTTTATTTTCATAGGAATAGTTTTGTATTTCAATCCATAAGATAATGCTTCCAACTGTAGTTGGGATAGAGTGCATGTAGATAAACTAAGTATATGCTTGTGCACATCTTGAGGAAATTCCAAAATGTGATTCGTGTCTTTCAAAGATTTCGTTAGTTTTTGTTCCGTGGAACTTATGGTCTTTTTTACCATATCATTGTGAAATACAATGAATTTAATTCGACATACTAAAGATAAATTATCCCTAACGGGAATTAGTCTTTGGTGTGTTTCGATATGAGAAGATCGACTGTACTCCCTAAGTCCGCAACCTTCATCATCACCTCGAGATAGCCTACAACCTGGCACGTCGTCATCTGCAGTCTTCTTCACAACATCAGAAAAACAATTCTGACCGGTTTGCCCATGGACCAACTTATTCCCGGGTGACTACGTCTGGCTCCATCGTCCGTCAGTCCCTGCCGGCTCGTGCCCCAAATTCTACGCCCCTGGCAAGGTCCATATACTTACACTTACTTTACTTCGGCTATCTCCTACGGGAGGATGAGCCGGCTTCATGAACATCTCGAATCATCGCTGTCCAGGCGCGGCGATCTGATGCAAGATTTTGCGACAGGATTATCCAATTCTTGTTCCACAGACGGAGTCCGTAGACGGTTTGTAGCCCAGGCACTCCATATCAGTCTTGACTGTACCAAGCCATGTTTTCAGCTGTCCACCCCTGCGACATCGCCAAGATGGAAATGGCGAGGGATTTAGAACTGATTTGACCAGATCGTCATCTGGTCGGAGCAGAACATGGCCAAACCACCGAAGGCGACGTTGTTGGACCAGTACTGGAATTTGGTTGATGTTGTAGAGAGTTCATGAGGTTTCATGGGAATTAGGTACGAGTGATGTCCCCAGTGATGTCCCCCCCAGTACATGTCTCTTATTATGGTGTCCAACTTCTGTTGGTAGTGAATGGGTGCCCACCGCGGTGACATCCTAATGGCCAAGTTATCGCCTGTCTTGATCTCGTGTTGTACGATATTAGGCCGCCCATCACTTGTCCATCGTCAAACACATCACTGTACTCCTGTAGCAGGCCCGAGTGTCGGTACGGTCTTTTAGACTGAGGTGGGGGTTATCATGAATGTTCACCAGTCATCTGGGATAAAGCACAAGCACTAGCCCACTGATTGCGGCTGACTGGTCGGCCAATTGCGAGGTTATGTGTCCCCAGGCGGATTCGAAGGTGTCTTAGGTCAATGACAGCGTTTTGTCCAGTTAAGAAGCCCACGCCCAGTATGGCGTCCCATCGTATAACATCACAAATGACGAACGACTGAGCACAAGTAAGACCTTGGAATGTCACGGAAAGGGTGGCAGCATCCGTTACCTTGATAGGGACTCCACTAGCAGTAATTAGCTGGAGCTGATTCGGGAGAGGCTTAGGTTTGACCCCAAGTCTCTGAACCAATTCCGTGCGAACAACAGAGGACCATGCCCCGGTGTCAACCAGAAAAGTTACGTCTACTCCCTGAAGGTTACCCTCAAGGAGGAGGG